GATGCAGAGAGGTCTAGGATTTCTCCCCAAGATATGCTGCCACACATTTCTGTGTCCTCCTCCTACTACTACAGGGAACAGCAGGACTTCCCAGCTAGGCTCACTGTGTGCTTAGTTGCTCAGTCCCCCATTAAAGGTCCTGCTCCAGGCAACTCTGCTGTTTAAGTGACTGGTGAGCAGCACTACTCAGACCAAGGTCACAGGCCAGTTAGCTTCCCTTAGCTTCAGTTCTAGAGTGACCTAAGGGGCAGCCTCAGAAACCTAAGGCGTCCCTTCTCCCAAGGTCTTGAAAAAAAGCAATGTAAGGTGGCCATCATAAGGCTGCACACAAACTGCTTTGGTATAAGCCCACGCCCACTGCTAGAGAGGCCTCTTTTTTTTGAGATGGAGTTTCGCTCTTGTTGCCCAGGCTGGAGTGCAATGGAGCAATTTAGGCTCACTGCAAACTCTGCCTCCTGGGTTCAAGCGATTCTCCTGCCTGAGTCTCCCAAGTAGCTGGGATTACAGGCTCCCGCCACCATGTCCAAATAATTTTGTATTTTTCGTAGAGATGGGGTTTCACCACGTTGGCCAGGATGATCTTGAACTCCTCATCTCAGGTGATCCACCCACCTCAGCCTCCCAAAGTGCTGGGATTACAGGCATGAGCCACCATGCCCGGCCTAGAGGGTCCTCAAAGTGAAGAACCGACTAGAGGTCAGCAGCATGGGCAAAGGGAGCCTCTTCCTTCCCACAAGAGAAAGACACAGCATTTCACTGGTCTATCTCCCAACAGCCAAAACTGGATGCTACACATCAAAAGCGGCAAAGGGTTTTGCATCAGAGACCGGGGTCTAGGTCATGTAGCTGCCCTCAGCCACAGCTCACTCACCGATGACCAACAGCACAAGGATGACAATGAGAACCACAAAGAAGGTGTTGCCATAGGACACTACCAACTCCACCAGCCGGGACTTGAAAATCTTCTGCCATCTGTGAAGACGACAAAAAGGACGGGAGCTGAAGAGAAAGCACACACACGGGCTCTAGGGCCCTGAGCAAAATGGAAATCCAGCTTTGCACTCTTCTCCAATGGCCGAATAGCCCACACAAAGTCAGCCTCAGTGGCTTGCAATTCTCTAATTTGATATCCATTCAAGAGTGTTGGAAAAAAGGCCAGGTGCGGTGGCTCACACCTGTAATCACAGCACTTTGGGAGACCAAGGTGGGTGGATCACTTGAGGTCAGGAGTGCAAGACCAACCTGGCCAACATGGCGAAACCCCGTCTCTACAAATAAAGTACAAAAATTAGCCAGGCATGGTGGTGGGTGCCTGTAATCCCAGCTACTCAGGAGGCTGAAACAGGAGAATCACTTGAACCTGGGAAGCGGAAGTTGCAGTGAGCCGAGATCGCGCCACTGCACTCAAGTCTGGGCAACAGAGCGAGACCCTGTCTCAAAAAAAAAAAGGTGCTGGTCCACGTAGAGATCGAAATGTCTAGAAAACTAATCTTTTTTTTATTTTGAGACAGTCTCGCTCTGTCACCCAGGCTAGAGTGCAGTGGCACGATGTCGGCTCACTGCAAGCTCCGCCTCCTGGGTTCACGCCATTCTCCTGCCTCAGCCTCCCGAGTAGCTGGGACTACAGGCGCCTGCCACCACGCCCGGCTAATTTTTTGTATTTTTTATTAGAGACGGGGTTTCACCATGTTAGCCACAATGGTCTCGATCTCCTGACCTCGTGATCCGCCTGCCTCAGCCTCCCAAAGTGCTGGGATTACAGGCGTGAGCCACCGCGCCTGGCCTGGAAAACTAATCTTAAACACGGGTAGTTGGCTGGGAACAGTGGCTCACGTCTGGAAACCCCATCTCTACAAAAAAAAAAAAAATATATATATATATATATACACACACACACACACACACACATATATAAAAAATTAACTGGGCATGGTGGCAGGCGCCTGTAGTCCCAGCTACTCAGGAGGCTGAGGCAGGAGAATTACTTGAACCCGGTAGGTGGAGGTTGCTGTCAGCCGAGACCACACCACTGCACTCCAGCCTGGGTGACAGAGCAAGACTCTGTCTCAAAATAAAAAAAAAAAAAAACAAAGAAACCACAGCAACAAAAAGAAAACACACTGATAGTCTCTGAAAAGGGAAACTTACTTTTCATTGTTCTCCCCTTTGTAATATTCAAAATGTCTGCCCCATACACATGTTATTTCTTTAAACTGTCTTTCCACATGATAAACCTTGGTTTGCCTATATCCCCCCCCACCCTGGGTTATGATGAGATGGACCCTAGACCTCACATCATTTCCCTCCACAAATGCTTTGGGATGCAGCTCTAAGAAGAGACTTCAGAAGTGTTTACATATTGTTCAAACCAACAAGAAGCCCTCATCATCAGGGCTAGAGATGAAAATGCCAATCACTGTAGGCAACAGTATTTGTTTGAATCTGGACCCAACGAGGTACCGATTTGGCATTTGGTAGATAAATGTCTTAAATCCCTCTTATTCTGGAAGCTCCCCCTTCCCTCCCCTCTTTCATTTGCTTTTCCAATTTGCTTTGTGTAGAAATCAGATTGTCTGTCCTCTAAAGATTCCCAGATTAAAGCTCCCCGGGGCCCTCTATCTCTGCATGTCTTGTCAACTGTACGAAGGTTTGGTTTTCTGCAAGAATCCTCCTCAGGCAGCGCTGCATACTTTCTGTGGTATCACATCAGGGATAATTTTTCATGAAAAAACAGTTTTTAAAAATACCTGTGGAGATTTGGCCTTATTTGTAATATGTGAATTTAAATAGGGACGTGTTCAGGTATTATACATAATTAACAATTAATTTCCAATTCACTTTTAACAGGTCCTCTGTTCATTAAAAGAGAATATGGCTTCATCCTCCACAGGCTGAGTAATGTTCATGCAGCCACTGCGCAATGCCAGTGAGACTAGTTAGGACAAGAGTCACCAAATCAGCAACAACGTGACCCAGTGGTGCAAGTCTTCCGAATCCCACGCTGCCATCCCAAGACCCCGGGGACCAAGAGTAGGCGGGAGGGCATCATTTCCAGAACTGTAACATGGATCTTCCTGCCTCTCGCGGGCATTCTGAAGACCAGAAGGCAGGGGACACAGGAAAAGGAACTGAGCAAGTCATGACGAAGCAGAACCCTGGGGAGGGTTGGCAATAACAAACACAACCCCTGCCACCCCCACCCCTGACAGGTTCTACCTGTTCCATCGGGTTCCAATTCCAGGGTCCACCAGCTGCACACACCAGTCCCAGGGCTAGGGCACAGGGACCCTCCCGCCTAACTCGCCTGCTTGCTCCACAAGCCATACCTTTTAGGAGAAATGAAGGGAATGCAGAGAAGCAACACAACAAAGACCTCCGCATAGAGGAAGGTGGCAACTGCAGTCCACTGCAGACTCATCCTGCTGCTAGAAGGTTTCCCACAGGGAGATGTGAGCTTGTTTCCTGGCAGGGCACAGAAGGAACAGGATTTGTAAGCGCTGGGCAGCCAAGAACATCCAGTTCAGTTACCCTGCGAGGCTGGGGCCGCCACTCTCCACTCGACCCCCTGCACTTTGCTTCACAGTCTCTGACGCGCTGGCGGAAGCAGGGCTCCACTAGGCAAGGCCGCTTGGCCAGCAGCGTTCACAGGCCCCACAAACTTCCGTTCGCTGGTCAGTTACCCGCCCCCCTCCAGCACGTGTGTCAACACGTCCAGAGCGGCCTCTCCCGACGATCCCTGTCCCAGGGAGCCCGAGATTTCCGACGCCCATTTAACTGAAAGGCGTTCTTCGGGAAGAGCAGTGCCAGAGCGCCAAGAGGAGGACGCCTCGGCACCCATTGGACGCTCCCTTCCCCGCCAGGCAGAACTCAGCCGCAGAGGCGGGCGCTCTGTTGGCCCAAATCCCCGCTACCAGGCGGGCCCAAGGCCGCATCTAGTCCAAGCGCTGCCGACGCCCCCGCCTCCCACCGTCCCCACGGCGCCCGCGGAGAGAAACCGGCACCTCCCTCGAGGCTCAAGCGGCCTTCCGCCCGGGGCCGCTTCGCCTCCGGTGGGCTGGAGGCCCGCAAGAGCGACTCCTAGAGAGCAGGATTCGGGACCAAGCGCAAAAGCAGGTCTAGACCAAGCACCTCAAGGCCCCATACGGGGAAAGTTCTAGACGCAGTCTCCTCAGAAGCCAGGGGTCCTTCCAGTAGCCCTCGAGGGCCACAGCGCCCACCCAGAGCGAGAGCTGACTGCGCGCACCGTGGGCCCCGCCGACAGGACCCCGGCCTGGCACACCGTCCCCGAGGCCCAGCAAGGCCGCTCCTCCAGGTGGGGCTTCACCGCCCCCCACCCCGCCCCCGAGCCCAGCTTCTAGAGGCACCGCCCGTTTTCCCCTCTCCCCTGCCCCTCACACCCAGGTAGGCTGCAGGCCCCGAGATTCCCCGGCCCCCGGGCCTCCCCGCGCCGCTCGCCTCTCTCCCTCGTCAAGGGGCCAGGGAGCCTCGGCGGTCCCGGAGCTCAGCCTGGCGCGCGGAGCCCGCTCACCGAGTTTCCCACAGTCAGCGTGCAGGCCCCGCCGCAGCAGCCGAACTCTCCCACAGCAGCCCCGGCCCCGCCCCTCATCCCGCGGCCGGAAACCGGAAGCGCCCGCCGGGCACCGCCCACTAGCCCTCGCGAGGCCCCGGAGGCTCCGCCCACCGCCGCTTCCCGCCCCGCCCCCGAGCGGAGGGCCGACGCCCCGAGCGCGAGAGGAAGCGGCGCCTGGGGCTCCGGGCGCGCGGGGAGGGGTGGAGCGAGCACGCGGGCGGGGCGGGGCTTTGGCGGGCCTACGAGGGCCGCTTATCTAGTCCGCGAGGCCGTCCCACGTCTCTGTGGTGCGGAGAGGCCCAGCCGAGGGGCGAGAACGGGGTTGGTGGGGGACGGGCCTCGCCGAGGGGCGAGAACAGGGTGGGGCTCCCGCGCCCGGACTCCGCCCCTCGCCCCTCCTCCGCCTCCTCCCCTTCCCCCGACTCGCCCCTGGGGAGGGGTGGGTGGGGATTCTGGGCCGGTGGCGGAGTCACTGTCGCTTCAGCCAGGCTGCGGAGCGGACGGACGCGCCTGGTGCCCCGGGGAGGGGCGCCACCAGGGGAGGAGGAGGAGGAGAAGAAGGTGGAGAGGAAGAGACGCCCCCTCTGCCCGAAATCCTTCCAGGCCCTGACCTCAGGAGCCAGGGCACTGACAGGACAGGAGAGCCAAGTTTCTCCACTTGGGCTGCCCGAAGAGGCCGCGACCCTGGAGGGCCCTGAGCCCACCGCACCAGGGGCCCCAGCAGCACCCCGGGGGGCCTAAAGCGACAGTCTCAAGGGCCATCGCAAGGTTTCCAGTTGCCTAGACAACAGGCCCGGGGTCAGAACAACAACCCTTCCAGCCACCTGCCTCAACTGCTGCCCCAGGCACCAGCCCCAGTCCCTGCGCGCCAGCCAGCCCAGGTGACATGCCGGTGCTCTCCAGGCCCCGGCCCTGGCGGGGGAGCACGCTGAAGCGCACGGCCGTGCTCCTGGCCCTCGCGGCCTATGGAGTCCACAAAGTCTACCCCTTGGTGCGCCAGTGCCTGGCCCCGGCCAGGGGTTCTCAGGCGCCCGCCAGGGAGCCCACGCAGGAGGCCTCCGGGGCCGCGGCGGCCAAGGCCGGCATGAACCGGGTATTCCTGCAGCGGCTTCTGTGGCTCCTGCGGCTGCTGTTCCCCCGGGTCCTGTGCCGGGAGACGGGGCTGCTGGCCTTGCACTCGGCCGCCCTGGTGAGCCGCACCTTCCTGTCGGTGTATGTGGCCCGCCTGGACGGAAGGCTGGCCCGCTGCATCGTGCGCAAGGACCCGCGGGCCTTTGGCAGGCAGCTGCTGCAATGGCTCCTCATCGCCCTCCCTGCTACCTTCGTCAACAGTGCCATCCGCTACCTGGAGGGCCAGCTGGCCCTGTCGTTCCGCAGCCGTCTGGTGGCCCACGCCTACCGCCTCTACTTCTCCCAGCAGACCTACTACCGGGTCAGCAACATGGACGGGCGGCTTCGCAACCCTGACCAGTCTCTGACAGAGGATGTGGTGGCCTTTGCAGCCTCTGTGGCCCACCTCTACTCCAACCTGACCAAGCCACTCCTGGACGTGGCCGTGACTTCCTACACTCTGCTTCAGGCGGCCCGCTCCCGTGGGGCCGGCACAGCCTGGCCTTCAGCCATCGCTGGCCTCGTGGTATTCCTCACGGCCAACGTGCTGCGGGCCTTCTCACCCAAGTTTGGGGAGCTGGTGGCAGAGGAGGCGCGGCGGAAGGGGGAGCTGCGCTACATGCACTCGCGTGTGGTGGCCAACTCGGAGGAGATCGCCTTCTATGGGGGCCACGAGGTGGGGCAGGTTGGGACGCTGGGCACGGAGGGAAGTGTGTGGCAGGGAGGCCCGGGGGCAGGCAGCCGTGAGCAGTGGGGACAGTCCAGGGCGGGCTGGGGCTGATGCCAAAGGTGTGGGCAGGCCATGGGAGAGCAGGGCTGGGGTGGGCAGGGCCTTGGGCAGCCGTGGACTCAGGCGCGGCAGTGGAGAGGCAGGAAGGCTGGGTGGGGACTGTCCTGTGCTGGTTGCCTGCACGCTCCTGGCCACTTCTGCTTCCTCTCCTCCTCAAGGAGGTTGTCCCAGCCTTAGAGCTGCGATCCTAGCAGTTTGAGCCTTGAGAGGAGATGCCTGCCATTCGGGAGCGGGGACCAAGGGACGTGACCTGCTGCCTAGCCCCTCCTGGGCCCTTGGGCCCTTTGAAGGCCGGCGTCCAGCAGAGCTGGCTGGCCAAGCAGGCAGGCATTATGGGCATGACTCAGCCCAAGCGAGGTTAATGAGCAGTGCCCAGCGCAGCAGTGGGACTTGGGGTCAAGGCCACCCCCGCCTGAGCCCACAGGCTTGCCCAGCTACCAACTGGCTCAGCTGCCTTCCCGGGCCCCCAGACCAGAGATGCCGGGTCCAGGCTGCCACTGCGGCGGGACACACTTCCTGCTCCTGGCGTGGCCGCCCTTCCGCCCCGTCTGTCTCCTAGTTCCCTGGTGGGCCGGGGCGGGGCGGGCCAGGCAGGCGCTGGGAAAGGTTACTCCAGGTCAATGCTCCCTTTATCTCGCCTCAGCCCCTCCCCTTCCTCGTGCCTGGGGTTGCAGTTGCCTTGGGCCCTGCTCTCTGCGACTCAGCTTCCGTTCCCCAGTGCTTCTTGGGAGGAGGGGCACAATGGCATCCATCCCCCAAAGGCCTGTGTGTGCTCCCTGGGTCAGGTAGCCTCTTGCCCTGGGACCTTGTCTCACTGTGCACCAGCAGAGAAGCAGGCTTGTCCTCGAACTCCACAGAGAGGGGCATCCCGGGTGTGGGCCAGACTGCAGATTCAGAGAAAAGGCCCCTGGACTTCAGCCACCACTCCAGCTTCCCTCTCCTCTTTACCCGCATGCTGGGCTGCAGGGCCTTGGCAAGCAGCCGCAGCCTTGGGCGAGGCGCTTGGCACATTCCCCGCAGCTACATTGTCAGCCTTGGCTGGCACCCCTGCCAGCTCCCAGCACGAGTCTGGATTGCCGGGGTGCTTGCTTCAGGAATGGGAGATTGGGCTTGCAGGGAGCTGAGCTGTGCAGGCCGACCTGGGTGGCGGGGGCAGAAGAGAGATCACTGGTTCTTTGAAGGCCTTCGTCCAGGCTAACTTCAAGAAGTAGATTACTGGTTCTTTGAAGGACACCATCCGGGCTAGCTTCAGGAAGTAGCGCGTTGACCAAGAGGGTTTGTTGGCCAGGGCAGGAGGGCCCGGTGTGCATTCACGGCCTGTTTGCATAGGCCTCGGCTGGAAAGCTGTGTGGGATAGGAAAGCTGTGTGATAGGACCCCTCGGGTGGCATGTGGCCTGTGGCAGTCCCACTGGCTGATGTCCCCGTGGACACTGGCCTAGGCTCAGATCAGGGCAGAAGCAGCTGACTGGCTAGAGGGCACACAGCAGAGTATTCTGTCCTTCCTGGGATTGCCACGAGGAGGCTTATTGAAATGCACATGCACATGATCTCTTGCTTGAGAACAAAGTAAAGCTCTCTCGATAAGTCTAAGCATCATTTACAAGAAAGTGGTTCTCCTGGCAGCTCTGCCAGTGTGGTTCAAATTCCCACACTGGTTGCCACCGTCAGGCTGTGTGGACTTGGGCAGGTCACTTTGCCTCCCTGGGCTTCAGTGTTCTGTGTACAATGGGCACGTGAATACACATGCAATGGGACGTGGTGAGAATCAGATGCAGAGACATGAAAGCACTTGGCAAACAGTGCCAAGCTGAGCAGCTGTCATCAGATGGCTATGGGGAGGCAAGGCTGGGGCACGTGCCCCTGGACTGAGCCCAGAAATTCACAACCCCTTGGCTACCTTGCTGGGAGCACTTCCCGACACCTCCCACCTCCCCCACCTGTCTGACTGCTGCTGCCACCTCTTCTCTGCAGATGTCCCTTTCCCCACCTGCTGGTGTCCTGACATAGTGGTGGCCAGTGCAAGAAGGGGAACAGAAGGACAGGGGAGGCCTACCCACTGCTGAAGGAGCGAGGTCCAGGCTCAGCAGTGGGGACATCCACTGGGGCGAGTCCTGTAGGGCCCAGCTCAGCAGCACATCCATGCAAATTTCTCACCAAAAGGAACTGTGGGAAAGTTGAGGGGAGAGGGGGCCTAAATAGGCCAAGACTGTTGAACTGAGTTTTTCAGAACCAAGAGACAGGGTCTCACTGTGCTGTCCAGGCTGGGGTGCAGTGGTGCCATCACTGCAGCTTCAAATTCCAGGGCTCCAGTGATCCTCCCACCTCAGCCTCGCGAGTAGCTGGGACTACACGTGTGTGTCACCACGCCTGGCTAATTTTTTTTTTTTTAATTATTTTTGGTAGAGACAGCATCTCGCCATATTGACCAGGCTGGTCTCCAACTCCTGAGCTCAGACAATTAGCCTCTCAAAGTGCTGGGATTGCAGGTGTGAGCTACTGCACTCAGCCCAAGAGACACTGCCTTTTGCTGTCCTGCACTGCTCTTTGCTTAGTTTAGTGGGGGAAAAATTAGAGCTGATGGATGATCTCTCTGGATCAGGAGGAGGGGCTAGCAGGGAGCCCAAAGAAATGGGCTCAGCAGAGGACAGAAACAAGGTGACTAGAGGGAGTGGAGAGGGGACGGCAGCCGCACTGTGACATCAGCCAGTCCCTTATATCCCATCACACCTTGAGTTTGAGACCTGGCCCCACCCAATCGTAACCTCTGGCTCTCGGCCTTCTGATGGCCACCATGGCACAGCGTGTGTGAGTGGCACTCGAAGACTCTGACCATTGCCCCCATGGGAGCTGCCACTGTGCATGGCCATGAAGCCTGTCTGTTTCTGTCACCCCCTCAGGTGGAGCTGGCGCTGCTACAGCACTCCTACCAGGACCTGGCCTCGCAGATCAACCTCATCCTTCTGGAACGCCTGTGGTATGTCATGCTGGAGCAGTTCCTCATGAAGTATGTGTGGAGCGCCTCAGGCCTGCTCATGGTGGCTGTCCCCATCATCACCGCCACTGGTTACTCAGAGTCAGGTGAGACCCAGGGCTCTAAGAGGATCCAGGCCAGGGGCCTGTCCCCCATACCGCTGGGTGCTGGGCTCATGAGGGCCCAGCTCAGCCGGCCCGCCTCCCACTTCTGCTGCTGGGGCTACCGAGGCCCTGCTGCCACCCTTGATGCTCTCAGAGGTTGGGCTTGCCTTGCCCCTCCTTGTTGCCTTTTGCCCTGCGCTCACCTCACATCCTTTGGTACCACTCAGCCAAGCCCAGGACTGCAAGTCAAGAACACAACATACCACTTCTCCAGGCACAGACACCCTCACCCACCTGTCCCTGTCCTCAACCCAACTGTGACTTAGAGGTGGGAGGATGTGCGGAGTACCTCGAGTGAGCCCCTTTATCACTCCAGCCTTGGTTTCCTCGCCCTGAAACAGCTCTTGTAGGTTGCAAAGGGGAAAGATCTCCACCCTAAGGCGTTTTAGAGGAGTGGGAAGCCTGTTCTACCTGTTATTTTAGTGATAAGATCAAAGATTTAGGTTTTCTGCATTCCTGTTGATTTTGTTTGTTCGTTTTATTTTCTTTTTGGTTTTTGAAACAGGACTCTGATGTCGCCCAGGCTGGAGTGCAGTGGCACGACCTTGGCTTACTGCAGCCTTGACCTCCCAGGCTCAAGTGATCCTCCTACTTCAGCCTCCCCAGTAGCTGGGACTACAGGCGCAAGCCACCATACCTGGCTAATTTTCATATTTTTTGTAGAGACAGGGTTTCACCATGTTGCCCAGACTGATCTCGAACTCCTGGTCAGGTGGTCCTCCTGCCTCAGCCTCCCAAAGTGCTGGGATTACAGGCGTGAGCCGCTGCGCCCAGCCTGCATTCCTGTTTTGTTTCTCTACTGGATTGCAACTTCTGCATTTGATTTTTTAGTCCGTTAGTGGTTACCCTTTAAAGGATCAACACGTGGCTGGGCGCGGTGGCTCACGCCTGTCATCCCAGCACTTTGGGAGGCCGAGGCAGACAGATCACGAGGTCAGGAGATCGAGACCATCCTGGCTAACACGGTGAAACCCCGTCTCTACTAAAAATACAAAAAAATTAGCTAGGTGCGGTGGTGGGCGCCTGTAGTCCCAGCTACTCCGGAGGCTGAGGCAGGAGAATGGCGTGAACCTGGGGGGCGGAGCTTGCAGTGAGCCAGGATGACGCCACTGCACTCCAGCCTGGGTGACAGAGTGAGATTCCATCTCAAATAAAAATAAAAGTTAAAAATAAAAGATCAACACGCATACTTGTTAGGTTAATCAATAGCTCCGCCTCCTCCTGGACCTTAGAACACAGAAGACCCCCGTGGGGCATGGCGTCATAGCCCAGCCAAGAGTTGGATTTGTACCTAGTTTTTCCTCTTTGCTATCGCCTCATCCACACGTGATAAAACTCGCTCACACGTTTGCTGAGTTCTATGCTCACCATTTCGCTCCTACATCTCAATTTCTCTTCTATGTTCTGTTGTCTTCCTCCAGATAGACATGTTTTTAGTTTTTGTTTGTTTGTTTTTGTTTTTTTTTGGTTTTTTTTTTTTGAGACGGAGTCTCGCTCTGCCGCCCAGGCTGGAGTGCAGTGGCCGGATCTCAGCTCACTGCAAGCTCCGCCTCCCGGGTTCACGCCATTCTCCTGCCTCAGCCTCCGGAGTAGCTGGGACTACAGGCGCCCGCCACCTCGCCCGGCTAGTTTTTTGTATTTTTTAGTAGAGACGGGGTTTCACCGTGTTAGCCAGGATGGTCTCGATCTCCTGACCTCGTGATCCGCCCGTCTCGGCCTCCCAAAGTGCTGGGATTACAGGCTTGAGCCACCGCGCCCGGCTGTTTGTTTGTTTTTTAACTCACAACTATACTCAGGACAAACAGTCATCAGTGCTTCTAATTCTTGATTATTTTATTGTAATTCTTTGTGTTGTTTTGTTTTTTGTTTGTTTGTTTGTTTTTTGTAGAGGCAGGTTCTTGCTATGTTGCCCAGGCTAGTGTGGAACTCCTGGGCTCAAGCGGTCCTCCCATATCGACTTCTCGAAGTGCTGGGATGACAGATGTGAGCCACCGCAGCTGGCCTGTTGTAATTCTTGATTATTTTTGTTGCAAATGTTTCTATTTCACCCTTATTCCGAAGCTAAAGTTGAGTTGCGCAATGGAGTCTAGGTGGACAATTCTTTTCTCTCAGCCCTTTCACAATGTCTTACTGTCTCCCTGCTTCTTCTGTAGCTGCTGACAAATCTGTAGCTGCTGACAAATTGTCCTCCCTGAGTACCCTGTGTTTTTTCTCTGGGTACTCTGATCATTTTCTTTCTTTTTGGCATTCTGCAGTTTCACTATGACGTGTTTAGATGTCAGTTTTTGTTGATTCTGCTTGAGACTTGTTATATGTCCTTTGAATATTCAGGTTTTTCAATCATTCTGGAAGATTCTCAGCTATTAGCTTTTGAGATATTGTCTGACTCTCATTCTTTTATCCCGTTCTTCTAGAACTGGCAACCAGCGCTGGACTTCTGACTCTCTTCATTGTGTCTTTTGGTTTCTGTTTACTGTTTCCCATCTCACACTGTGCTGAATTCTGGGGATGCCCTCAGGCTTTCTTCCTGCTTGCTCATTTGCCAGTTCACCAGTTTTCTTTTCGGCCATGTCTAATTGGAATTTTGTTCACATTTCAGTGGCTGTTTCTGTAAGTTCTATTTCATTCTATTTCAAATAGAAATTTGAAAATGGATATTTCCTTTTTCAAGTAGAAATGTCAGGCTGTTTCTGTGTCTTATTTGCTCATCTTTTTGACTGCTCCTTTTATGCTGTGTATCATGTTAGTCATACTTACCCCACCGTCTCTATCCGATGGTTTGGTTAGCTTCAGTTCTTGGGAGTCTCATTCACCTGTCTTCTGTCTGCTGGTCCTCACTCATGGTGGATCATTTCCTTGTGGGTTTTGCAACAGAACTTCTATAGGGATTGATATGACCTCAATGGAGGGTGTAAGTCCATATTTCTTTCTGTTTTGGCCAAGCACTCCAGGGTAAGCAGTTGGAGGCCGTTAGTTAGTGTGGAGGGGATGGTTCCTGAAATGAGAGGTGGTTTCATTTGAATTCATTTGAACTCCAGGCACATTGTTACAAAGTCTTAGAAGAGGCTTTTTGTTCATTGCTCATAGAGCCCAGGCTAAGCAAAGAAAGCTTCCTGGTCTTTGCCCTGCCTGCCTCTGGGGCTTTCAAAGGATCACCTGGCTGCCTGCTTCTCTTTGCTCCCAGGAGTTTCCCTTGCTTTCCATCAAGCTTGGCTCTGCTTGAAATAGTGTCATAGTTTTTACGCAGTTTGGTGGGAAGAGGGTTTTCAATTTATAAACAGAAGTCTGATTCTCTCCCTGTTTCTGTTTCCACCTCGGGGCTTCCATGCCCTCAGCCGTCTGTGTCGTCCTCTGGGTGACTCACCAAGAGGAAGGATCAGCCTTGATGCCGGCGTGGGTGCCCGGCCCAGTCAGCGCACCTAGCCCCAGGCACCGAGGCAGCCCATGAAACAGCACCTGCAGCCGCTTCGCTCCATGGCTGCCACTGATTGCATCAGGCTGCTCCCTGCCCTGAAGGCCTAGGACTTTTCTGAGCCTCTGCTGTGCCAGGCTTTGTGGGCTCCTGGCCCTGCTCTGCTGGCCCTCAGAGCCAGCAGCCTTTGAAGGCTGTGAAGCGCTCCCTTTCCCCTGGCTTGATTAGTTCTGTCCTGTGGCCTTCCGTTTTTTGGGGGGGTTTTTTGAGATGGAGTCTCACTCTGTCTCCCAGGCTGGAGTGCAGTGGCACGATCTTGGCTCACTGCAACCTCCACCTCCTAGGTTCAAGCAATTCTCCTGCCTCAGCCTCCCAAGTAGCTGGGACTACAGGTACACACCACCATGCCTGGCTAATTTTTGTATTTTTAGTAGAGATGGAGTTTCGCCATGTTGGCCAGGCTGGTCTTGAACTCCTGACCTCAAGTGATCCATCTGCCTTGGCCTCCCAAAGTGCTGGGATTATAGGCATGAGCCACTGTACCTGGTCCTGTGGCCTTCTTATTTCCCCAAATGCCAGGCCTGCTCTGTCTTGGGGCCTGTGCCAGGAGCACTCTTTACTCTGCTGCCCTGTGGCACAGCCCACCTATGCAAGGCCCGACCTACCTACCACCACCTTTCCTGTCTCCTTCCCTGCCTCATTGCTCTCCCAAGCACTGAACACCCCGTCAGTGGTGCTTTTCTCTCTCCCTGCCATGGACTGCAAGCCCCGTGGAGGGCAGGGATTTTTGTCTGTTTTGTCCCTGCTATGTCCCCTGCACTGGGTGGCTAGTGAGGGCTCCAGGTGCTTCAAGGAGGTGCAGCGTGCTGGTTGGGGAAGATTTAGATAAGCTTTGCTGGGCTGGCGTGCAAGGCAGGTGGGCTCAGGAGATGGGCAGGGCCTGTGGCTCCCACTCCAGCCCAGAGGCCTTGCTCTGTCCAGCTCCAGGGCCCTGGCCTTAGTCGCCCAAGGCTCCAAGAGAACCTGCAGAGGGCAGTTGGTTCTGCGCCAGGATGCCCTAGGCACAAAGACTTGCAGACCCTTCCCTTTTTCCACAGAGACTGTCCAGCTCTTAGAATACCTGGGGAGGAGGGCTGTGTCCTTAAGAGCATGGTGGGGGCCGGGCGCAGTGGCTCAAGCCTGTAATCCCAGCACTTTGGGAGGCCGAGGCGGGCGGATCACGAGGTCAGGAGATCGAGACAATCCTGGCTAACACCGTGAAACCCCGTCTCTACTAAAAAAAATACAAAAAATTAGCCGGGCGTGGTGGCGGGTGCCTGTAGTCCCAGCTACTCGGGAGGCTGAGGCAGGAGAATGGCGTGAACCCAGGGGGCGGAGCTTGCAGTGAGCCGAGATCGCGCCACTGCACTCCAGCCTGGGGCACAGAGCAAGACTCGTCTCAAAAAAAAAAAAAAAAAAAGAGCACGGTGGGAAGGAAGGTCCAAGGCCTTCAACCTTTAGGATTAATGTCCCCACCCTGCCAGCCCAGTCTAGTTCCCTGGTTTCCCAGGCCAGGCCCCTTTCCACCCTGCATGGCCCTGAGCTGACTCTACGTTTCATGTCCTCCCCCAGCCCCCAGCCAATGATCCCTGAGGCTTACCCCTCAGGATCACACACACCCCTGGATAGAGTCCTCGGGTCCTTCACAGGACCTTCCCACCACCTCAGCCACACCCCAGTACCCTCAGAGGCAGCCTTCACCCTTGCTCCCCACCTCTGCTCCTGTGGGGACTCTAAGGATCAAGAAACTGAGAGGGCCATTGACGAGGGTCAAGGGTGCTGCCACGGGGCCCTAGAGTGTGACAGAAAAACAAGTTAAGACAGGAGCAGCTCCTGGGAGAAACAGACACCAAACAATATGGCTGCTGGCCCAGAGGTCAAAAACCATGGTGTAGAGGTCAGGAAGTGGGACATTAGGCTGGGCGCGGTGGCTCACGCCTGTAATCTCAGCATCTTGGGAGGCCAAGGCGAGCGGATCACCTGAGGTCAGGAGTTTGAAACCAGCCTGGCCAACATGGTGAGACCCCGTCTCTACTAAAAATACAAAAAAATTAGCTGGGCTTGGTGGCAGGCGCCTGTAATCCCAGCTACTTGGGAGGCTGAGGCATAAGAGTCACTTGAACCTGGGAGGCAGAGGTTGCAGTGAGCCAAGATCACACCACTGCACTCCAGCCTGGGCAACAGAGCAAGACTCTGTCTCAAAAAAAAAAAAAAAAAAGAAAGAAAAAAAAAAGAAAGTTGGTGTTTCAAAGCCAAACAGCCCTGGGCGTTGGATGACAAAGTTCAGATATTCCCCAGGAGGGGCGACAT